ACTTGAAAAGGTAGATTAATCTTTTAAGTTATACAGTTTAAAATAAGAAAGTAGGTACTGGCCAGATAGTTCAGCAGATTAAAGCACCTGCTTAGGCAGACACAGGGACCAGAGGTTCAATACCCTGCATGCAATGCTGGCCCCACCATTGGGGCAAGCTGAGAAGGCAACTGAGACTGGGTGTGGTGGTGTGAGCCTGTAATCCCAGCACTTGGGAGGATGAAACCAGAAGTCTGAACTGTGTAGTAAGACCCTGTACTAAATATATAAAATAAATAAATAAAAATAAGAAACCATTATTCAGAGAAATTCTCTTCATGCTCACACATGTCTGTCTTGCGGAATTATACACTTAAAAAAATCATTTTCTCTAACAACATATTATAACAAACCCCATGGTCCTAAAGAATTTACCAAACTGGAGCTCTTCATTTGATGGTGATTTCATGGGCATTGGTATCAGCTGATTATGTTTTCCACCATGTCCTAACTGTCCTTCTTCTCCAAATCCAAAGGAAAAGACCTTACCCAAATCAGAGACATAGGCGAGTGTGTGCCACCTATTAAATAAAAGCATGTACTACTGTTAATGCTTAGTTATTGCCAGTTAAGAGTATTTAGCAATAGTATAAAAATGCCCAAATAAGGTTACTCAAAAATAATTTTTCAGGGAGAAACCCCACCGGGAGACCAAGGAATCAGTATGTGACTTTGAAGACTGCAAATCTCATTTATTTATTTATTTATTTATTTATTTATTTATTCATTTTTTAGTACCAGGGATCAAACTTAGGACCGTGAGCCTGCCAGGTAGGCGCTTATGCTGCTGAGCTATCTCCTCAGCCCACAAATCTTACTCCTACTCAAAACCATGCTAATATACACTGGTAAATGGTGTTCCTTGTTGTGGGGACATCTCACCTCAGTTGTGTTTTAATTATACTTTTTATTTATTTATTTATTTATTTATTTAGTGTGTGGCCAGCTCAGCCCACCAGGGGGCGGGCGGGCTGGCATGTGGTGCTGGGGGGATTGAACCGAGGTCCCTGTGCTTTGATTGGCTTAGCTTGTTCTAAGTAGGTGCTTTAGACCACTGAACCATCTCACCAGCCCCTACACTTTTCTTGTTGCTGAGACAAAATACCCAAAGTTAAAGGTAGAAAGGTTTAGTTAGCTCACAGTTTGTAGAGGTTTCAATATATAATCAGTTGGCTCCAAGGCAGAGTGGCACATGGCAGAGAGGTAACCATTCATGGAGGTGGGAGACAGCAAAAGCAACGAGAGCAAAGCAAACCTTTCTGCCCCTTATATTGTACCCAGTCTACCGGGATAATGGCAGTGCCAATCCAATCAGTGAAATGATAAAGCAATCACCCAATCTTAATCCTAGCATTGTACTATGAATCAATCACACAGTCTAGATCCAGCTACCTCTGAAAAAAACTCTATGACCCCATATGGTTTTCAGGGGATGTCTAGACACAAACTGTAACTTGCTACACCTATGTCAAGTTGCAGCTTGAGAGGCTCTATGTCCTAGAAGCCATCTCTCAGTCCCCACCTTCCCTAATAGTAAAAGAAGGAATTATCTGATATTCTCTGAGTTCCCATTCTATTGCCCAAAAATCTTCACAAAAGGATTTTTCTTATTGACCTGTGCATCAGTTCCTTAATATATTGAGGAACTTGGTCTTGCTCAAAGAGGTCTGGCTACCTTATGCCAAATTTATAAAGTAACCTATAGTCTTATGGTTTCTCAAATGATAGAGGGGTGTCTTTGGTGGAGCCAGGGGACTACATCTGACAGGTGGCTCATGATAGTATCTTTTGGTCTTTGATAAAAGGGAAAAGCTGAGACTGAGTTCAATGTGACAATGATTCAGTCAATCTCTAAGCAACAAACCCTGGATAAAAACTCTGGACAAGGTAATCAGATTAGAAGAATTAATACCTTTCAAAAGCTATAAGGGGGACACAACAACCAGAATCTCAGCATTTGGGCTGTTTCTAGTCTCCTTCATCTCCCTTCCACTGACTTTTACCAATGGTATATTTTCCTTGTAATAAACCTGACTGTGAGTAGCCAGTTTCCAGGAAGTTCATTGAGTCTTTCAGTGAATACTCCTGTCTTAGCATTTAAGTTATCTCTACTTGGCTGCTTTTCTTGGAAAGCATGACACTCAAAGGAACTTTCTGGGAAATCTAATGTGGTTTGAACACTTTCTTGGTTAAGAAGACATCTCTTTGGTTAACAGAATCTTACTCCCATAGACTTGCCTACCATATTATCCACTTAAGGAAGTATGTTTGTTGATTATAAAGAATGTTCTTTTTTTTTTTTTTTTTAAGTAGGAAGGACTTTATGAAGCTCATAGATGAAGCCAAAGTCAGAGTTTGAATTTCAACTGAGTAAGGAAAAACTCAAAAGAACAAAAATGTCTAAGATGAAACAGTGCATTGCTCAACACTACCAAGTTCCATAATTCAAGTGTAAGGAGGTAGACTGACAACTTGGCATATTAATACACACATGTAATCCAGCTCTCTGGAAAGCTGAGGCAGGAGGATTGCAATTTAGCAATTGCCAATCTGGCAATTTAGCAACAATCTGTCTCAAAAAAATCCTCCCAAATTGAAAAGGCCTGAGGTTGTATCTCAGAGCAAAAGCCCTGTGTTCAACCCCAATTCCACAAAAAAAAAGTAAAAATTGGACTGCTGAATTGATAAAGAACAACAAAAAAGTAGTCTGAGGAATTTTTTGCCTTTATATATCAAACATGAACTATGAAAATCAAAATTGTCACAAATTTCATTTAAACACCATTGAAATTTACACCTTATTGTGAAGAGAGCAGTTTCAAAGTTTAATTGTTGTATCACTTAACTTAGACCTTACTACTAAAAACCTTTATCTTGAGAGTCAGACTCCTAGGCCCCATCTCCACCTCAGTCAGATGCTTAGTAGTCACGTCTGTACTGAATGAACGTTCTAAAACTCCAGAACTTAAATCTTTGCCTTAGTGTTAGGAGTAATGGGAGCCAAACAGAAGGGCAAACAATGAGACTAATCTTACCAAATAGCCATTATTACCATGCTCCAAGCTTCAACCCTAGCACTCCTGTGGCCAATGGCCAAAACAGGAAAACAGAAATTATTACATTAATTCACTAGCAAGAAATACATGCTGATTGTATTTATAGTATCTGTGTGTATGTATGTGTGTTTTGGTATTTTGAGACAGGTCTTATTATGTAGCTCAGGCTGCCCTTGAACTCATGGTGTTCCTCTGCCTCTGTCTCCTGAGTGTGAAGTTTACAGATGTGGGGCCACAATGTCCAGTTTACACTGCTTTCAATAAAAGTCAAGGAATGATCTATTTTAAAATGTAAGCCATTGGTTGCCTCTAATTTTTTAATATGACAAAGTGAGAAGTTTATACTCTGTGAAATATAGACCTTTATAAAATTAAAAACATTTAGGTAACTAAAAAGATTATTGGTTCTTGTGCTAGCTTCAGCAGCACATATACTAAAAAAAAAAGGATTATTGGTTCCAAAGAGTTATGAAATAGTGATTACATTAATAAATAATGCATGTGATTCATATTTTTTCCAAATAAATACATAATGACTTTTCACCTAAATGATAAAAGTGCACCTGACTCTGGACTATGAGATCTAGGCAAGCCTGGGATACATAATAAATTTAAGACCAGCCTTGAATACAGTGAGACCTTGTCTCAACAAAACAAAGAAAGTGCACCTGAGTAGTTACCAAAGTATTCCACCAAGTGGGGCAACAGAAAGAGTACTCTTACTTGGTCATTTACAAAAATTAGGCTTAGGGATTCTCTTGTTGTGTTTGCCATCTTCTGTGGCCATGAACTGTTGCCCCTCTGCTATGTGTCATCTTCCTTGGAGCAAGCTGATTAGGGACTGAAACCTCTATATGAGCTAGAATAGACCCAGAGCGCAGGCCCAGCGTGAGACCACCCAGTCCTGCAGACCCTGAATAGACCCAGAGCACAGGCCCAGCGTGGAACCCTTCAGCAGAACTCCCTGAAAAGAGGCTAGAGGCAAGACCCACCCAGCTGATTCAGGAGCAGAACATCTTGCCAGAGTGACACAAAGGGTTCAACTCCAACAGCTGCAGCAGGAAGAAGTGGAGCATATCAGCCAGATCCAAGCAACACCTGAAGGAAGCTGAACTTCGTAGATCCAGACCTGGTGCTAAGGTAATAATTCTATCTAAGCTCTACACCAAAGGTCAGAAGACAGTGTTATACAAAATGATAAAGAGAAGGAAAAAAATGCAGTCTCAGACCCCGAGTCCACCCAGTACAACTGCAGAAGACACTAACACTGAGGAAACTGGAAATCACACACCAGATATCTCTGAAATAATAGCGTTGGAAGTAAAGAAACAACTGCAGAAAGGTATAGAAGAAATCAGATCAGAAATAATTTCTGAACTAAAAAATGTAGTGACAACTATAATCAAAGAAGTACTAAGTGCTTCAAAAGAATACACTGATAAAAAAAATAGAGCAGGAGTGTGTGGAGAGCTTCCTGCTACCCTGCGCCGGCGGGACCAGTCCCAGCCCAGGCGCAGGGTGGGCCAGACCCTCTCCCGCCCCCTCAGGCTGCCCCCCACCACTCCACGTTACCTGCCCCACTCCTCCCGCTAAGGAGGAATTTCTGCCGAGTTCCGAGAACCCCCAGACCCAATCCTAGCCCAGGTCTGCAGCGGGAAGGAGCTGAGCACAGCAGCCAGACCTAAGCCAGATGCAGCTGGATAACTCCAAACTC